CACAGCCGCCAGTCGTTGCACTTCTTCCCCTTCTTCTTCTTCTTGCGAAGCCGCTCCATGCACTCCAACGCGTAGGCAACCACTCGCCGCGCCTATGTGCAAGGCGTGGGGCGCGGGTTAACCGAATCTCTCACCCGCTACCTGGTGAGGTGGGCCCCCGGGGCGCGCCATGTCGCGCGTCGCGTCGCGCGGCAGATCGAAGCGCCGCACGGCCGCAACCACCTCCTCGTCGTCGTCGGCCGGCTTGTCATACAGGCCGCACATTGCGAGGACCAGCGCGTCGCACACACTCGCCTCGTCGTGTTTGCGCGCCACCGCAGCCGCCGCGGCCTTGAGCCTGTGCAGCAGCTCCCGCCCGATGCACGCGGTGGCGACGTCGGCCGTCCGCAGCGAAGCCTCGGCCTCCGGCTTCGTGGTGCCGGCCAGGTAGGACTTCTTGGCCGCAATCACTCCACCGGGACTCCGGCCGGAGATGCTCACCTGCTGCAGCCCTTGGCGGAGCACTGGCGAGCTCTGCGGGCCGAGGGAAAAGACGTAGCGCAAGCTGCCCTTGGTCCACTTCTCGCTGACGTGCGTCTCCAACGTCGTTGAGAAGGTGCCCTTCCCGAACTTCGCGTCGAACAGCTTCACCTGCGGTGCGGAGGAGTCCCGGAGTGGCGGGGCAGGGCCGCGGCGGCGCGGGCGGAGGGAGGAGGCGGGCGCGATTCGGTGCGGCAGGCCGAGCGGCGCGTGGGGAGCGAGCGTGGGAAGGCACTGGCTGAACAGCCTGCTCCGCCGCCTCCTTCGCCGCCTTTTGCTCGACAAGTCGCGCCTGCCTCTCCTGCGGTGCGGACGAGTCCCGGCGTGGCGGGGCATGGCCGCGGCGGCGCGGGCGGAGGGAGGAGGCGGGCGCGATTCGGTGCGGCAGGCCGAGCGGCGCCTTTTGCTCGACAAGTCGCGCCTGCCTCTCCTGCGAACGCCTGCACGCGAGGGGCGCGCAAGGCATTGAGCGCGCGGAAAACTGTCCCACGCAGTGGGCGTCGCGAGCTGCGGTCGCCCAAAGCAAAACGTGCGTGGGCGCGGGCTATGTGGCGATGAGATGCCGGCCACTTGGCCGACGGGCGTGGCGGGGGCGCGAGCATGGCTTGAGCGCGCACCGCTGCGAGGCCTCCGCGCCCTCCGCCTGGCGCTGCAGCTTGAGCAAGCGCTGGCGTTGGTTCTGGAACCAAACACACACCGAGCGCGGCGTCATGTCGAGCTGCTGCGCCAGCGCCTGCCGCTCCTCGAACGAGGGCAGCGAGTCCGACTCTGCGGGACGGGGAGGGGGGTGGGGGGGTGTGACTGGGCGGGTGGAGGAGCTCGGGCGGCGCGGCGGCCGGCGAGCGTGCTGTGCGGTGTGGAGCGTCGGGCGGGGCCGGCGCGGACCGAAATGCTGCGTCAGGATGAGCAACATCGGCTTCGAGATCTCCGTCCGCTTGAACTTTGGCTGAGGGCGGGGGGGGGGGCCGTCTCCTGTCGGCGCCGAGACTGCCGCCTGAGGGAGGCAGGGAGCGAGCCAGGCTGAGAGAGGGAGCAGGACAGGGGAGAACGCCTCGGACAGGCCGAGATGCAAGCAGCAGCGCACCGTCTCGAAGGTAGTTGAAGTAAGCGGCGGCGGCGCCGCCGCAGCGGAGCCGCCGACCGTCCCACCGCTGCTCGAGCGAGGCGAGCCGAGTTGAGGTGGATGCCTGAAGGCCAAAGTGGGGCGGAACGCGGAGCGGCGTGAGTGGGTGGGTCGTGCGCGCCCCGAGTGAACGATGCGAGTTTGGGCGGGGGGTTGAAATACCCGGGAGCCGGCGTCGTCGGCAACTGCCGCTTGCAGTCGTCCGACTCCATCGTTCCGCGCCAATGTCACGCCTGCCTGCAGCAAGTTAGTAGGAGCTAAGGGCCCCGCCGCCTGCTCGCTCGCATCTGCGGTTGCGGTTGAAGGGCGCTCAGCGCGGCGAGAGCTCGTGGAGTTGGCGGATGCAGCGACCAGGCTGCCATCGCAGCGCCGCCGCTGCATCCTACCTGTGAGCCGCCGCTGCAGCGCCGCCGCAGCAGACGACGGCGAGGCCGCTGGCAGTGCATGAAGTCGAGAGCGCGGTGCAGCGGCGGACGCGGCGGAGGACGCTGTCAGACTGCCGCCGCCGCCGCCGCTCTCACGCCGAGCTGCGTACGCCTCAGCGCACAGCGGCGGCCGCTCGTGAGAGCACAAAGCACAGGGCGCACGGAGATCCTCGTAAAAAAAAGAATTTTACAATAAAACTCCCTCGCACAACACTGGGCACAGGACTGGGCACGGGACTGGCTCGCACTGGCACTAACACAGGTACACCACGGGAGCCGCCTAAGCGACTCCTGCGAGGGTGGCGAGGCACTTAGCTCCGTGCACCCGCCCACCCCCGCCACAGGCAAGCTCATTCACGACCTGCTCTGCGATGGCCGTGTGAAGAACGACTGAGATGCGCTGCTTCTGCAGCCCCAGCCAGCTCTTGGTGGTCCAAGTCACCTCATCGAGGTACTGGGCCCGCGTCAGCTTGTTCTGTAGCACGTCCGCCGCTCTCCGGAGGATCTCACGGACCCCCTTTCCGAACCCGCCGAACGATTCGAACAGCAGCAGCTGCACTTCGACGCCCTTGTCTTCCCTGGCGTAGCGATAGTCCCCGCCGTAGGACGGTATGCGGCGGTCGCCGCCCACCACCCTGCCCCCCCTGGTATGCCAGCGCCCAGTCCCTTGCCCTCTCTCGCCCTTGCTCTTCCTCTAGGATGAAATCGCTGAGGTCGCGCGTGTCGTCCATAGGCGCACCCGGTGAGAAGCCGGCTCTGTGCACCGACAGCAGCAGCTTCCGCACCGTCGTGGGGTCCCCCTGGCCGGGCGGGGCGAAAGGCTGGCGGGGTTGCCGACTCAGCACTCCTGGCTTCTGGAGGTGGTCGGCCACCGCCCTGCGCAGCCTGTCGCTGGCTCGCTTGGCGTCCCAGGCCTGGCGCATGGTCAGCAGCCCGTGCGAGACCAGGACGCTCTCTGGTAGCAGCTTGCGGAGCTGCCATGCGCACGCGGCAATCATGCAGTCGCCGGTCGCGTCTAGGTCCGCCGCCCTCCATTGGCAGTCCTCGCAGCCAAGGGGCGGGTTGTGTTTGTCCTCCAGAGCGCGGGCTAGTAGCGGGAAGCTCCGCGAGCAGACCCCGAGCCGCTCGGACGGGCCGACGGTCGCGTAGTGAGCACCGGACGCGGTGAGCAGGGACAGGGCCTCTCTGAGGGCGCGGATCGAGTCCATCTCCCAGAGGCGGACGCCATCCCCCCCCCCGCCCGCTGGCCGCGGCCCGCCCGCGTCGCTGGCGTTGTCGTGCAGAGCCGCGCCTCGGGCCTCGCCACCGTCGCTCTCCGTGGGTCGCAGCCTGCCTTCAGGCACTTGGCGCTCGCCGGCGGCGCCCTCAAGCATGATCGTGTAGTAGTACTCGGCCGGATCGTCGGCATGGACCTCAAGCACGACGGCGTCCGCATCCGGGTGTTCACTCGCGTAGACGACATGCTCGTCCTTCTGGAAGCGGGGCTTCTCAGCCCGAGGGCCTGCGGTGACGCTGTGGTCGCCCGCCGCCGCCACGCCGCTCTCGCCGCCGCCGCCGTCCTCCGCGGCGACGGCGCCACCACCCGCGGTGTCGACCGCGGTGTCGACGGGCATCTCGCCCGCGTCGTCGTCGTGCTTTCGGCGGCGGTCCTCCCGCGCGGAGGGCGGATGGCGCGGCTCCCTCTTGCGTTGTGGGCGGGCCTCTGGCTGCGAGGGCGATGGCTGCGAGGGCGATGGCGAGGCAGCCGTGCCGCTCGGCTCCGACGGCGATGCGACCGCCTCCGAATCGGGCGGGGTCGGCTTCGAGAAAAAAAAGAATTACCGGCGCATCTCTGGCGTTGTTTTTCTTCACCTCTAGTGAGGCCCGCATAGTAATGTGGGTGACTCGTGCCGCCGCCCCTGCCACCCCTGTGTCAGTGTGCCTGTGGTAGGAGAGACTGCCCAGCAAGCTGGAGGCAGGTCGCTAGACTGAGATGAGACCGCCAGTGGATGTGGGAGTCCACCGCGCACCGCGCTGCGAGCCTGTCAGCGCACGAGGACGACGAGGCGGCCAAAGCCCCCCCGCCTCATTTCCATCAAGGACGACGAGGCGCCAAGAAGCAAGGAGAGATTGACGAGCCGCGCTCAACCCATGTTCGACACGTCGATGCGCCTGACCTGGCCTCGGTGGCCCTCGTCCGCGAGCAGCAACAACGGCGACGAGTCGCCCGGCGACGATCTGGGCGCCACGAGCCCGATGTCGTGCGGCGGCGACGGCGCAGCAACTGCCGGTGGCCCCGACGAGGTGGTGGAGGTATTCAAGCCCCGAGCCGGGATCCGAATTGGCATCTCGCTGATGCGCTCGTGCCCCGCGCATCCCACCGTGCGCACCGTATTGCCGGGCTCACTCGCCGCGCAGCGCCGCTCCGACGGCTCGGATGCACCCATCATCAGCACGTTTGATCGCATCCTCGCAATCAACGGCGACAAGCCGCGGACGGCACGCGACGCTGCGGCGATGATCCGCGACGCGCAGGGCTGTGTCCGCATCCGGCTGCTGCGCAAACCGCCCGTCTTCGTCGCCGACTCTGCTCTGAAGCTGCAGCGGCGGTGGCGGCAGCGGCGCGGCTCGAGGATCGAGATCGTGTGGAAGGCGGCGGCGGCGGCGGCGGTGGGGGTGGCCTTCTCGGACGCGTTGGAGGACGCGGCGGTGGTCGCGTCCGTCGTGCCGAACAGCCTCGCCTCCGACGCCGCCCTCCACCCCGGCGACCGCCTGGTTGCGGTCGACGCCAAGCACGTCGGCTCGCCGCGCGAGGCGGCCGAGATGCTTCGGCAGGCGCGCGGGGCGGTGGCGCTGACGGTGGTGGAGGCGGCGCGCGTGGACCAGGACGCGCTGCTCGCGTCGGAGCGCCGCCGCCGCGCCGCCGAGGCGGACGGCACCGCCGAGCCTTGCGCCCTCTGCCTCGAGGTTCCGCGCTCGGAACTTGTCGCCTGGCCCGCCGGCTGCGAGCACCACTTTTGCGCGCGGTGCACGTACAAGGCGCTCGACTTTGGGATCCGGGCGTGCCCGCTCTGCCGCGCCGAGAAGCCGAGGCTCCACGCCGACGAGGCTTGAGGGCGATGGCCCAGGCCGGAGTCGAGGCGAGAGGCCCGCTCCAGCGATCGGACCACAGCACGAACCACATACCACAACGTTGCATCTCCCCGCATGTCTCACCCTCCAGTTATTGTGTATCATCAGAGTAGTACGGTGTTGTCAAGTGGCAAGTGCGACGTGAAGACGTCTGAGCTTTCTTATCGTTCGAGTCGAGGAATAATGAAATCTCGCGCTGCCCGAGTGCGAGTCTCGCGAGACCCATTATACAGATAGAGTTAGAGAGAGACTTGCAAACATGGGCTGCAAGCAACGCGGGTTCCGTGGTCAACGGGCGTTCGACCACACCACCGGCCAAGGCTACGTCAAGTCACAGCGTGGCCACTACCATGATGGGATCTTCACCAAACGAAACAAGTTCAACCTGCTTCTCCACGCGAGAGACATTCGGCGGTGGCTTCTCGCCGCCAGCAGTTGCAAAGATCAACCGCCTTGCGCGCAAGGCTCAACGCTCGGGCGTTGACCGCACCGCGTACCCTCCCCACTCCCGCCTCTCATTTGTGTCACACCACGCGGAACGCATCTCCATCGCTTCGGTGAAGGGGGTGAACCGTGCCATCCTCGATCGCCGTGCAAAGCTCGCTTCCGAGCTCTCACGCCGCGCGTAGGGCCCTTAGGGGCTTAGGGAACACAACCCCCTCTCTCTTTTCTCCCAGTAAGCTATAAGTACGTACAGATACACAAAATACGGGTTTACAAACATCAAACAAGCTCTCGCACATCATCCTTAGTTGAGGCCCTCCTATTTGCTCTTGCGAGTAGACAAGTGTTGCCATCAACAAGTAGAAGATTCTGATCTCGGGGGCGATGTGACCAACCGCTGGTAACCTCACACATGGTCTCACAGTGTGCCGGCAGTCGCCGAGCAGCAGACACAAGCCGCAGCACACCAGTGACTGAGGGCCAGTGAGGGCGAGCCCATCGCTGTGACAGCTGTGGCAGCCGCACAGCAGGCTGTGTCAACTGTGCAGAGTGTGTGAGCAGCAGAGGAGCTGCTCTCCAAGCTTCAGGCTGCATGCCACCGAAAGCGCTGTCGAGGTCCGCCGAGCGCGGCGCAGGTTGAGGGACACCATCACCGACGAGTGCGTTGGAGTTCTACTCTGGACAAAGACCGCTGCACAGCGGACGGTTTGGGCCGTGCAGCGGTCATAGCGGCGAGGCGCGGGACCGTCTGTGGCGAAGTGGCGAAGTGGGTCGCGTCCCTCGATTTCCGTCAACTCGGCCACCCTCCTCGCCGGCAAAATTGAAAAAAGTAAACCGCGTGCCCCGGTGCGCGGACACCTCGAACTCTACGCTCATCGCTGCGTCTCTGGCAGAGTCTCTGCTGGTAATCGGCGTAGGCAACATCGCCTGCATGTACATGGGGAGTGCGGAAAGTGATGATGAAGCTGAGGAAGACCATATTGCGCATTGGGAGAGAGAGATTTTTAGCAATACCAAACAACTCTAACACTCACACGTCATTTGGGGCCTGGAGCCCTGTTCACGCGCGCGCGAGACGTGCAGACAGGGTTGCCAGGTGAGAGCGAATGGCGCGGTTCACGCCTCGCACAACAGAGAGAGAGATGCGCTCTGTTGTTTTCGTTGTTTTCGCATTGGCACCGTGGATAGCCTTTGTTTGCACCTCGGGCACGATGTTTCGGCTACTCTTGCTCATCGTGTCGAGGTCTACCGCCCAATGGATGAGTGCAGAACTCGCCGCGATCAGGAGGGTCGACGGGTGCAAGCTGCAACAGCACCGCGACGACAAACTTGCGCACGGCCCACTGCGCACTGGCACCAAGCCGCCGCGTCCAGAGGATCGCGGTCGCTGGGTGGCCTGCATATTGAAGGACCAGTCTGCATACATGTGCATGTGGGACTGCCGGATGGGAGGCCGGATGGGAGGACGGCACGCCGGCCAACACTTTTTTTACACCTCCCGTTTTACTCTCGAAGGACGAGATCTCCTGGCGTTTTTACTTTTGTGTGTTTTGAGCTGGCCGTCGATGAACGAAACAAATACTCGAATTATTTTTTCTCTTCGACGCTCGGGCCCGCTCGCTCGAATAAATCACGTCTTGGAATGGTACAAGTACGACCGGAAGACGGACGAGGGGCAAGGGTGGCGCCGCCCCGAACGGCACACGCACACACACGCGGCGTCGCGGCAGACGAGATCGCGGCTGGCACGTGCGCGGCTCGTTGGGTCGGCGCCGCGGATCAGACAGAGGGCGCAATCTCGCGCAGCACACAGACGACAAGACTCGGGACTCAGAGACGCGGCGGTACAGAGTGGTCGGCGGAGCCCCCCATCCGACCCCCCACCCCCCCGCCCACCCACCACCCCCCCGCCCACCCACCACCCACCCACCAGACGACCGGCGGCGACGGCCTGCGATCGCGCCGCGCCGCCCGCGCCCGCGCCCCCGCCCCCCCGCCGACTGCCACTGGCGCCACCCGGACGGAGCGAGAGCCTCTCTGTGCCCGGGCAGCTGCGGGCTTGGCCGCTCCTCTACTTGGTCGAGACAATCGACCTGCCGATGACCTCCTTCATTATCTCGTTTGCGCCGCCGTAGATGGACTGCACGCGCGCGTCGACATACGCGCGGCAGACTGGGTACTCCCACATGTACCCCCAGCCCCCGTGCAGCTGCACGCCTATCGCTCGCCAGACAGTGAGCTCAGGCGAGAGTGTGTGGTGTGGAGGGCACGAGCCGCGCCTGGAGAGAGAGAGAGAGCGAGAGCGAGAGTGAGAGCGAGAGTGAGAGTGAGAGCGAGAGCGAGAGCGAGAGAGCGAGAGAGCGAGCGAGCGAGCGAGCGAGCGAGAGAGAGAGCGAGAGCGAGCGAGAGCGAGCGAGAGGAATGGGACGGGGAGCGAGGAGCGAGAGTGAGAGAGCGGAGAGAGCGAGCGAGAGCGAGCGAGAGGAATGGGACGGGGAGCGAGGAGCGAGAGTGAGAGAGCGGAGAGAGCGGGAGAGTGGGGAGCGAGAGTGAGAGAGCGGAGAGAGCGGGAGAGTGGGGAGCGAGAGAGTCGTGCGCCGTCGTTCGCGATCTTGGAGGTCTGGGGAGAGATGGGAAGGTGTGGGGAGATGTGGGGAGACAGGGGGGGCGCGCCGTCGTTCGCGATCTTGGAGGTATGGGGAGAGATGGGAAGGTGTGGGGAGATGTGGGGAGACAGGGGGGGCGCGCCGTCGTTCGCGATCTTGGAGGTATGGGGAGAGATGGGAAGGTATGGGGAGATGTGGGGAGACAGGGGGGGCGCGCCGTCGTTCGCGATCTTGGACTGCAAATCGGAGCCGTAGTACTTTGCCATCGACGCCATGTTCGTGTCGAGCCTGTGCTCCGAGTGCAGCTGGATGCACTGGTCCATAAAGGAGCGCGCCACCGTCACCTCGGTCTTCATCTCGGCCAGCTTGTGCTTGACGGTCTGCAGGTCGGACAGCGAGCCCTTGAAGGCCTACGGGTGGGTTCGGCTCCGTTAGGGGGGTAGGGGAGGGTGGGCAGGTCGGAGAGCAGCCCCCGAAGGCCTTTCGGTCCATCGTGTAGTCCTTAGTCCACTCAAACACCGCCTCGGCGGCCGCCACACCCATGTCTCCGATGAGCAGCCGCTCCTGCGGCAGCTCCTGCATCACGCAGTAGAAGCCCTTGTTCTCGGGGCCTGTTCACGGCGGGCGCAAGCTGTGAGGAGGCGCCGTTCACGCGCGCGGCGGCGGGCCGGGTGATCTCGCGTGATCTCGGGTGATCTCGCGTGCCGAGCATCGCAGAGGCGGGCACGCGCAGGAGAGATGGGGAGAGATGGGGAGAGGTGGGGAGATCGGACCGAGCATCGCAGAGGCGGGCACGCGCAGGAGAGATGGGGAGAGATGGGGAGAGGTGGGGAGATCGGACCGAGCATCGCAGAGGCGGGCACGCGCAGGAGAGATGGGGAGAGGTGGGGAGAGGTGGGGAGATCGGACCGAGCATCGCAGAGGCGGGCACGCGCAGGAGAGATGGGGAGAGATGGGGAGAGGTGGGGAGATCGGACCGAGCATCGCAGAGGCGGGCACGCGCAGGAGAGATGGGGAGAGATGGGGAGAGGTGGGGAGATCGGACCGAGCATCGCAGAGGCGGGCACGCGCAGGAGAGATGGGGAGAGATGGGGAGAGGTGGGGAGATCGGACCGAGCATCGCAGAGGCGGGCACGCGCAGGAGAGATGGGGAGAGATGGGGAGAGGTGGGGAGATCGGACCGAGCATCGCAGAGGCGGGCACGCGCAGGAGAGATGGGGAGAGATGGGGAGAGGTGGGGAGATCGGACCGAGCATCGCAGAGGCGGGCACGCGCAGGAGAGATGGGGAGAGATGGGGAGAGGTGGGGAGATCGGACCGAGCATCGCAGAGGCGGGCACGCGCAGGAGAGATGGGGAGAGAGGGGGAGAGGTGGGGAGATCGGACCGAGCATCGCAGAGGCGGGCACGCGCAGGAGAGATGGGGAGAGGTGGGGAGAGGTGGGGAGATCGGACCGAGCATCGCAGAGGCGGGCACGCGCAGGAGAGATGGGGAGAGATGGGGAGAGGTGGGGAGATCGGACCGAGCATCGCAGAGGCGGGCACGCGCAGGAGAGATGGGGAGAGGTGGGGAGAGGTGGGGAGATCGGACCGAGCATCGCAGAGGCGGGCACGCGCAGGAGAGATGGGGAGAGATGGGGAGAGGTGGGGAGATCGGACCGAGCATCGCAGAGGCGGGCACGCGCAGGAGAGATGGGGAGAGATGGGGAGAGGTGGGGAGATCGGACCGAGCATCGCAGAGGCGGGGACGCGCAGGAGAGATGGGGAGAGGTGGGGAGAGGTGGGGAGATCGGACCGAGCATCGCAGAGGCGGGCACGCGCAGGAGAGATGGGGAGAGATGGGGAGAGGTGGGGAGATCGGACCGAGCATCGCAGAGGCGGGCACGCGCAGGAGAGATGGGGAGAGATGGGGAGAGGTGGGGAGATCGGACCGAGCATCGCAGAGGCGGGCACGCGCAGGTCCTCGAAGAAGAGCTCGGCGGTGTCTTGCGCCTTCATGCCCATCTTCTTGAGCTTCTTGCCCTTTTGGAAGCCCGCCATGCCCTCCTCGACCAAGAAGAGAGAGACGCCGTGCGCGCCCTTTGTGCTGTCCGTCTTAGCGCAGACGATGACCACGTCGCACAACCAGCCGTTTGTGATGAAGACCTAGGGGGAGGGGTGGGGAGAGGTGGGGAGAGATGGGGAGGGATGGGGGGAGGTGGGGAGAGATGGGGGGAGATGGGGAGGGATGGGGAGGGATGGGGAGAGATGGGGAGAGGGATGGGGAGAGGGATGGGGAGGGATGGGGAGGCTCGTGATGAAGGCCTTTGAGCCGTTGATGATGTAGTCGTCCCCGTCCTTCTTGGCGGTCGTCTTGATGTTCGCAAAGTCCGACCCGGCGCCCGGCTCGGTCATCGCGAGGGCGCCTAGGGAGAGAGATGGCGAGAGATGGCGAGAGATGGGCAGAGATGGGGAGATGTGGTCATCGCGAGGGCGCCGATCCACTCCCCGGAGACGAGCTTGGGCAGGATTCGACTCTTTTGCTCCTCGGTGCCGTAGTTTGTGATGTAGGGCGCGACGATGTCAGAGTGCCTGGGTGAGATATGGCGAGATATGGCGAGGTGTGGCGAGGTGTGGGGAGGTGTGGGGAGGTGTGGCGAGATATGGTGAGATATGGCGAGATATGGCGAGATATGGCGAGGTGTGGCGAGATATGGCGAGGTGTGGGGAGGTGTGGGGAGGTGTGGGGAGAGTGAGGTAGGGCGCGACGATGTCAGAGTGCATGGCAAAGCCGGGGCGGCGCATCCCGAGTACGACTGTCTAGGAAGTGTCTCGGAAGTGTCTCGGAAGGCGCACATCGCAAAGCCGGGGCCGGTGCATCCCGAGTACGACTGCTCCTCCCACATGATGGCGGGGTACTTGCAGTCCAGCCCGAGGCCGCCGTACTCCTGCGGCGGGGCAGGCGGGAGAGTGGAGGGGGGGGGGGGGGGGGCTGAGGGGAGAGGAGGGCGCGCACTGCCAGCAAGGAAGTCTGGTGCAAGGGGCGGCGGGCGGCGGGGAGGAGCAGGTTTTTGAGGGAAGGAGTCTGCGCGCCTCCGGGACCATGTTTGAGAGGAGGCCGAGCTCGCCCGCCTTGGTCCAGAGCTCGCGCGGCACCTCGCCGGCGGCCTCCCACTCCGCGTGGAACGGCGCCACCTCGTTCTCAAAGAAGGACCGCGCGAGCTCTCGGAACATGTCGTGGTCCGCGTCAAAGATGTCGCGCGTGCCGATGGCGGTCAGAGACGACGCCATCGCGGGGTGCTGCCGCACGCCCTCGGCGGGCTCATCGGCGACCTGCGACGCGGGAAAAGGCAAGCTCGAACGGCTGCGACGCCCCGCGCGCGCCCACGCCCCGCGAGCGCGCGATCGCGAGCGTCCCCCGGGCTCGCGCCTGCGTCGAGAAGCGCCGGCCCGCAGGGGCGAGCCGAGAGGCGAGTCTGCTGACAGCGCGTGGCGCCGCCGCGGCGCGGGAGAGCATGGAGGCCCTTGATGACAGAGAAGTCGCGAGGTTTACCGAAACTCGTTTACTTTTTGACGGCGAACTTGGAAGAAGAAAAACGCACCAAGGGTTGCGGCTATGAACAGGAGCGAGTTCGCGCTGCGCTAGGCTCAGACGCCCGTTTACCGAAACTTGTTTACTTTTTGACGGCGAACTTGGAAAGAAGAAAAACTCGCGGGTACCGACAAGAACACACCCGAGGATGTCACGCCCAACAAACAAACAAAGTCGGGACACCAGCAATGTCGAGGGTGCGAAGCCAGGATTGGGGTTCTAGACGACCTCAGCGCACACCCCGAGGGGCGCCTGCAGCCTCCGCGACCCGAACGATTGATTGATGGGAAGGCGAAACACCAGTCCGACCAACGACTGGGACACCAACGCGGTATGGGTGGACGCGGGGGACGGGCGGTGACGGTCACACAGGAGCGACACACAGAACCACAAGACAAGACACTCAGCCAACGTGTGGCTTCCACACATCCTGAGCGAGCTTCCCTAGTCACCCGCGGCCGGACTCCATCCGGCACGCGTCGCTGAGCGCTCAGAGCCGCGTCCCCTGCTCGCCCACCCCGACGCTCAAGGCGCCCGAGTCGAACGACAGGCGGCACGCGAAGACTGGTTGCAGTCCCGCCGACCACCAGGCCGCGGGATGATGTGTGCGTGGTCTTGCGTGGTGGGTCTCGGAAGCTCCCTGCGGCTTTTCTTTTGAGGTGGGAGAGTATAAGGTACGGAGAAAGCATCGATCGCTGCAGAGAGACTACTGCGACGTAGACCACCCACGCTTCATAAGGTGCAGGTGTACACCTTGTACCGACACAGAGGTAGGCGCGCAGCGCCCACACCCTCTACCTAGGTGTGTGAGTGAATGCTATACCTTCAGCGCACCTTATACCGAGGTACCCTCCACATGTCCACACCGGCACCTGGGGTACTCTCGAGACGTTCACACCGGCGGTGCATGCGAATAAGGTGTGCACCGCCCGTCGACAGCCTCAGCTCTCATGCGCACCGCCTTCATAAAGTCCTCCTCCACCGCATAGTCACGCTCCCCGCGGATCGCAAACATGCCCGCCTCGGTGCAGACGTTGCGCAGGTCGGCGGCGTTGAAGCCGTCCGCAAGCTTGACGACGGACTCGTAGTCGATGTCGCCCTTCTTGGTGATGGGCGCCGCGTGGATCTTGAGCACGTCCACGCGCGCCGACTCGCCTGGCAGCGGGATCTCGATCTTGCGGTCAAGCCGGCCCGGCCGCATCAGCGCCGGGTCGAGCACGTCGGGCCTATGGACATGTCTCGGACGTGTCTCGGGCATGTCATGGGCGTGTCCTAGCCGGGTCGAGCACGTCGGGCCGGTTGGTCGCGCAGATAATCTTGACCTTGCCCAGGCCGTCGAACCCGTCCAGCTGGTTGAGCAGCTCCCCGCGGTCGGCGCTGGATCTCGCGGTCGGCCGAGGTCCCCTCCGAGAAGCGCCGCCCTCCGATGGCGTCGATCTCATCCATGAAGATGATGCAGGGCTCGTGGTCGCGCGCGTAGCCAAACATCTCGCGGATCAGCCGCGCCGACTCGCCGATGTACACTTGTCGACAATCGCCGACGCGACGACCTTGAGGAAGGCGGCGTCGATGTTGTTGGAGACGGCGCGCGCGAGCAGCGTCTTGCCGGTGCCGGGCGGGCCGTAGAGCAGGCAGCCCTTGGGCGCCTGGTACGAGGGAGAGATGGGGGAGAGATGGGGGAGAGAGGGGGGAGATAGGGGGGGATAGGGGGGGGCGTAGAGCAGGCAGCCCTTGGGCGCCTGGTACGGGGGAAAGATGGGGGAGAGATGGGGGAGAGATGGGGGAGAGATGGGGGAGAGATGGGGGAGAGATGGGGGGAGAGGAGTAGCTCGTGCTGTCCGCCTCCTCGGCCTTCATGTGGAAGACGACCGGGTCCACCTCGCGCGGCAGCGCTCGCATGATCGTGAGGGTAGTCATGTCGAGCGTGACTGACTCGCGTCCCCTGCACCAGCTTCGCCTGAGGCGGGTGGTGGAGGGAGAGATGGGCGACGCCAGTGTGCTGTTTGACAGAAGAATTCTTTTTGCGTTAGTGCCAGTGCGCGCCAGTCCCGTGCCCAGTGTTGTGCGAGGGAGTTTCCTTGTAAGATTCTTGTGTCGAGCCTGTCTGTGCACTTGTGTTCTTTAAGGTGGGGGCATGGGCCCTACTGCGAGGAGGGAGAGGGAGGTGGGGGGCAGGGAGAGGGGGGGGGAGAGGAGGAGGGGGGGGGGGAGGGGGAGGGGTACGGGGGGGGCGGCATGGAGGGGGAGAGGAAGAGCAAGGGCGAGAGAGGGCAAGGGACTGGGCGCTGGCATACCAGGGGGGGCAGGGTGGTGGGCGGCGACCGCCGCATACCGTCCTACGGCGGGGACTATCGCTACGCCAGGGAAGACAAGGGCGTCGAAGTGCAGCTGCTGCTGTTCGAATCGTTCGGCGGGTTCGGAAAGGGGGTCCGTGAGATCCTCCGGAGAGCGGCGGACGTGCTACAGAACAAGCTGACGCGGGCCCAGTACCTCGATGAGGTGACTTGGACCACCAAGAGCTGGCTGGGGCTGCAGAAGCAGCGCATCTCAGTCGTTCTTCACACGGCCATCGCAGAGCAGGTCGTGAATGAGCTTGCCTGTGGCGGGGGTGGGCGGGTGCACGGAGCTAAGTGCCTCGCCACCCTCGCAGGAGTCGCTTAGGCGGCTCCCGTGGTGTACCTGTGTTCGTGCCAGTGCGCGCCAGTCCCGTGCCCAGTCCTGTGCCCAGTGTTGTGCGAGGGAGTTTTGTTGTAAAATTCTTTAAGGTGGCAGTCCGGGTTTTGCGAGACGGGTGTCGTCCCGCAAGATGGCATCACGCTCGCACCTGCCGACCGCCGCCACGGCGGCGAGACGCCTTCTCCGCCACCGCGGCGCCGGCCACAGGCCAGCGCTAGGCAGCTGCCGGCCACACTGGGCCGGATTTGCCGGTAACCGTCGCCGCACACTCCTACGTCCACGCCGCTGTGACGTCTGGCGACGAGGCGCCGGCCGCCAAGCTTCATCGCCAACGTGGTCGCTCGCTGGTCCTCTCGGCTCGGCCAAGCGTCGGACCAGCTCACACGAGCTCCAGACAGCCACCAGTCGCCACGCGCAAAGCGTACGGGTCGCCGGCTCCCTGTTGTGCTCTCACGCTGGCCGGCGTAAAACTGTACTGGCAGTTGTCATGCCGTACCCGTCGCGTTTCGAAAGGGAGCCCTCAATCGACGCGTCTACACGCACCGTGCCACCACTCTCCACAACTGCTACCGTGGACATCAAGCTCCTCGACTCGATCTGCGGCTACGACGGCGCTCTAGCTGCTGGCTCTCGCGGGTGTCTGGCGACCCGCTCAGGCTTGCGAAACGGCCGCCCGCGGCGACGTGTTCGAGCTCGCTGGCCTTCTCCGCGCGGCTGGGCCCGCCCCTAGTCGGGGCCGACCCGCCCAGTCACTGGGCAGCGCGTGCGCCGTCATCCTGGACGACGGTGTGCCGATGCATCCGGGAGGCTCCGCGGGGCTGCTCTAGCAGCCTCGGGAGGGTCGAAAATCGAAGCCGGAGCGGCGGACCACGGAAGCTCCACGGACGGTGAGGCGGGCTGTGGTTGACCCCCCCTGACCGGGTGAGGGAGTGGCGCCCCGGGAGTGCCGCTCCGGCGACGTCTGTGGCCTCCACGGTACCGTGACCGCGGTGCTCGCTCTCGCGGCCGTCTCACGACCCGCTCGAGACGAAAACCGGAGCGGACGGTGCGACGAACCGCGAGTGGGATGGTCTGCTCCGCGCGGCTGGGCCCGCCCCTAGTCGGGGCCGACCCGCCCAGTCACTGGGCAGCGCGTGCGCCGGCGTTCTGGACGACGGTGTGCTGGTGCATCCGGGAGGCTCCGCGGGGCTGCTCTAGCAGCCTCGGGAGGGTCGAAAATCGAAGCCGGAGCGGCGGACCACGGAAGCTCCACGGACGGTGAGGCGGGCTGTGGTTGGCCCCCCCTGACCGGGTGAGGGAGTGGCGCCCCGGGAGTGCCGCTCCGGCGACGTCTGTGGCCTCCACGGTACCGTGACCGCGCCGGCCTCGCTCGGGAGGCTCTTTCGGAGCCGTCGGCCTCCGAAACCGTCGCGTTGCTGCGCCTGGACGGCTTCGATGCTCGCCAAACCCGTCGGCACCGTTCATATACACATGAATTGTGAGTGAACGCGCATTCTGCAAAGGGGTGTGAACGGAGAGAGCAAACTCCTGGCAGCTCCCACAGTCGAAATGTGCGCCAGCTGCCCGCTCACCTGTGTCACGCCGCCGCGCACGCACCTCGCTATGTGCTCGCGCGAGCTCCCGCCCGAGCCTCCAGCTCGGTTTCCCACTGCTGCGGAGCCGATCGCTTTTCCTCGGCGCTCGCGTCGAGCCGAGCTCTCGGCACTCTACGGCGGGCGTCGCTGTGCGGGGCGCCCGTTTCCTGCTGGCCCGAGCGGAAAGCTCCACGTGCCCGCGCGAGCTCCGGGCCGAGCCTCCAGCTCGGCGTCCCACTGCTGAGGAGCCGATCGTCGTCCGTCGGTGCTCTCAAGGAGCCGAGCTCCTTGGCCTGCGGCCGGCGACGCTGCAGGACGGCGCGCGCGCACCCCCCCCCCCCCCTTCTCCCGCGCGCTCTTCCGCGGGCTTTTTTTTTTTTTTCTCCTTGCCTCGTGCGGTTGTTTTTCGCCCCCCCCCCCGTCTGTGCTTGGTTCCTTGGCCCCCTCTTCTCTGTTCCTGTCCCCTCCTCTTTTCTCCC